ATTGGAATTGCAGTTGTTCAATGTACGATTTCTTGCATTATCCCTTCTGCTTCATCCATCTTTTCTCCCTCTGTCTGCTACGTGCACATCACCACTGTGGACAAAGACAACGATTGAAGACAATGACCACTGATTGATATTTAGTCACGGGGTAGTATAAGGAAAGGGTTAATGACTTTGCAGTATATGCAAAATTTGTTTCAGGAAAAAAGTCATGGGTGCCTATGCACAAACCACAGAGGAAACAAGGTTTCAGTTGTGTTCTCCCTGGGATGGCTGCAGGGGAGCAGGGTGATGTGAAGGTGCGTACAGGTGTGTCATGGGCACAAGAATGTGATGGTAAAGAGACCCAATGGCAGAAAACACCATCACCAGCACCTGTTCCTGCTGGTTCCACAATCAGCCCAGGGAGATTTCACCGATGGTTTCAGTGTCCTCAATAGCAAACAAATTCCCCAAGCCTGCTGGGTTTTATGACCCCCCTGCTCCTAGGAAACACCTCCGGGGAAGGAGTGCTTATCAGCACTTCTCCTCGGTTCAGGATGTTTTGGGGAAGGGCAGAAGCTGTCTACCAGCTGGCTGTGCATCAGCAGGATGACTGCACTCAGCTGCTCTCTGCAGGGCTGTAGACGGGGGCTGAGAGACTGCTGGTCTCCTGAGCCTTGACCTTCTCCTTCTTCTCCTTTTTCCGCTTGACTTTTGGAGACTTACAAGTCTGTGATACTGTCTATTGACTCATATCATAGCTTTTACCTGGGAAGAAGACAGCAGGGGTGATACTCCTCTGTAAGGACAATATTCCCATGTCTCAGGGTGAGGGAGGATGGGGCTGTTGGACGTTATGAACATCGCTTCTCAGGCTAAAAGATTTAGGTCTTGATGGGGCTTGGATGGGAGGTTGCAGAGTCCCACATGTTGCTGTTGCAATCCATCCAGCTGAGGCTGAATCTAGAGCCACAAGAAGGGAAGGAGCTGGGATGCCACTATGTCACTCCTGCAAAGGACTGTTCATAGTTTGTACCATCTACAGGGCATGTGTTGGTTGTCCTCTCCTCCAAGCCCCTTTGAGCCCTTCCTCAGAGCACTGTGGGGAAGGATGGTGTAGACCATTTTGGTGTACTGGTGTGGATTTTGGGAGCTGCCCCTGCCACAAAAGGAAGGAGCTGGGATGCTTCTTTTGGCTGAGCTGTTACACACAGAAAAGGACTGAACACTGTGGTCACACCTCCATGACCAGCTGGGAAGATGCCTGTCCTGTGTGGTGTCTGAAGTAGCACCTCTAGGGGTTGTGCATGATAGTCCTTCCACTGGGAGCCCACCAAGGAGGCTGGGAATTGGTTAAATCTCCTGAAGTCCCTAATGAGAAGTGTACATAAGGAAGCTTTTTCTTTGGATCAAAGTCTTCTGGCTTAATAGCAGCCATTGGAGCTTTGCAGAGGCAAGGGGCATGTTAATGTGTAAGCCACAAGGAAGTTTAGGGGTGTTAGGTTCTCTGTGCAAAGCATTTCTGGGCTAAACTGCCTCCCTACCTGGTTACTCTGCCCTCTGAGGAAGATGTCTGTAAGGGCTGCTACTCCTGTCCTCTGTCACCCAGGGTCCTCAACTCAGCAAGGCTGAGTGAGAGGTCACAGCCACTCTCACCACTTTCATTTCTTGGGCAACACTGACTTTCCACCAAACCCTGTGTAGTGCCCCTCTGCTTTAACTCTCTTTGTACCTCTGCTGTCATGCTTTCCTTTCCTTCTGCTGAGGACAAGCCTGTTTTCATCTCCTCTCTCTCTGATGCATTTTCTCTCTCGTGGGCTTCACTCGGCCCACTCTTCCCTCACTGTGAGAGAAGCTCATGCAAGACCTCCAGCATGGAGGAGTTTTGGCCATGAAAGGAGTACCAGCTGAGAGCAGTAGATGTTCACCTGGCTGGGGCACCTTCTCTAAGCAGCAGCCTCTCACTTATGGGGGCTGAGGAAGAATGGCTGAAGGAGCCTCACAGATTATTCTTCTCTGCCTTAGGATCCATTTGAAATCTTAAACCTCGATATGAAGCCTGGGAACACCCTGAAGATCAAGGGCAAAATATCTGCTGATACTCCTGGGTAAGTACAAAGAAACCACCTTGACTTACCAGGATTGAAGGTGGGCTGTAGAGGTAGGTGGTTTTCCAAGGTCACCAGATACAAAATGTGTGAGCATATCTGTGTTAGGGGAACCCCTATGCCACCACCTGCCACGTTGATGGGGGAATTGCAGAGATGTGTGTTGGATCTCAAGTCTTCCAAGACCCTCTCCTGTGCATGCTGCTGACCTTCCTCCTGTTCATCCACAGCTTCAGCATCAATCTTGGCTCCAGCTTGAAAGATCTGGCACTTCACTTCAATCCCCGCTTCAATGAGTCTGTCATTGTCTGTAACTCCAAGTGCTCCAATGTGTGGCAGAAAGAGCATCGTGACAGCCACTTCTCTTTCTTCAGGGGATGCACTGTCAAGGTGAGGAGTGTGTCCTGGGTGTTGGGGGGTGTGCATGTGGTGGGGGGAAACCCCTGGTTAGCAGATTCCCATACCCTAGTTTTCCCAGTCCCATCAAATACTTCATGCTTCCTCACAACAGCCTGTCATCCTCTGGGTTTTGGTCCTGATTGTCATTTCCACTCCTCCTTCAAAATCCCAGCTGCTTCTGGGAACTTTGTGTGAGCCCTGTCTGTCTTGGGCTTTGTAAGTGCTTCCTGACCCCCCTACCTGCCCATCAGGTGAGTGTACCAGGGGCATGTATGAAGGAGTCTCCAAGGAGCAGTATCTTTCTGCTCTCTACCTTATTTCTCTCCCTACTTCCCTCCTGTGTAAACACAGGCTTTAAGGCAACCTAGAGTTTGGAGCAAAGTCCAAAAACCTCTCCATCAGCTCTTCTGTCCTCATTACTCCTGGATCCACGCTGCCAATCTGTCCTCTCTCTTCTCCTGCCAGGGATACTGTCCTAGTTGCTGTCTCACCCCATCTGATGTCCCAAGTTGTTGACAGGGCTGCATTTAGGAGAAGTCCAGTTTCCGTTGCTGTGGAGAGAAAGCTTGTTTCCTCAGGCATGATGGGCTCTTGGGGAGGGGGTAGTGAGATGATAGCTTTGGAGAACACTCCCTTTGGTTTGCAATGATCAGTGATGCATTCTCATCCTGTCTGCTTGTGCGTGTTTATCAGTAAAGTTCCTTTTTCCAGGCCCCAGTGAGCTGCTGAGGGCATTGGGGGGTCAGGTTTAATCTGCCTTGTTCAGAGCAGTACAGTGGCATATACATTCCATGTGTACATATACATATACATTCCATAAAGACATGTAAAGACATACTTGGGTTTAGCTGCTCTGAGTTTACAATCTCAGGTGAAAAAGTCTCAGGAGAGATCCTGTCCCCAAATCATAGTTTGTATACCAGCTTAGACCCTTGATATCAACTTCTCATTTCCTGAATCACCCTCAGCTCAACCCCCAGCACCTTGATTAAGGTTATAGTGAACAGGTTTGACCCTCTCAATCAGGTCTTTTGCTTAGATGCTGACCTCTGAATACCCTCCTTGTCCTCAATTCCCTTTCTCAGTTCCTCATTGAAATGCTGACAGACAAATTCCGTGTGAAACTACCAGATGGGCATGAAGTGTGTTTCCCCAACCGGCACAGCTACCGCAAGATCAACTACATGAACATCATGGGAGGCTTCAAGATCACCTCCTTCAAGCTGAGCTGATGGGTGCCACTTCCCAGCCCTAATAAAAGACCAAGCCAGTGGAACACTGCTTGCTCCATCTGCTTTGTCTTCTCTGAGATCTTTGGGTCTGCTTCTGTGTAAGCCACTGTCAAAGCCTAAGGTTTTCCCACTAACAGAAAAAGAGTCCTTGTTGGATGGAAATAGCTCCCAGATAATGCCAAGTGCTTTCTGGGTCAGAAGAGGATGTGGGGTTGAATGGGTAGTAGATAAACCAAAGCAGGCTGTAGGTGGGGTTCAGGAGGAGGAGGAGGAGGAGGAGGAGGAGGTCACTATATGATTGCTTGGGAAATGGTTGTGTAATCTCTTCACAGTGCTCCATTTCTTCCTGCACCTGAGCTTTTGGGAGGGAGGGATAGAAGAATGGGGAGAAAAGCATGGATGTGAGTGATGTGGCATTTTGCGCCACAAGAGAGCATAATTAAAAGTTAGGTGGTGTGGGGAGGGCAGCACAGGTGTGCCCCCAGCCAGCATTCCTGCCATAGATAAGGGAGTGTCTCCTCCAACTTTCCTCTTTACCTCACCTCACTTATCTGCTGGTACATTCCAGTCAGGTTACCCATTACTCTGACATTTCCACAGCAAACCCTACTCAGGGAAAGTGAGGCAGGGGAGGCAGTGAGGTTTGGACTGAATTATTTGGCTTAGCACCTCCAAGTCTGTGTCCCTTGCACAGGACTACAGGCAAATAGTCCTGATTATTTTATGCTTCTGCTCTAATTGAAAAGTACCTTGCCAGCCTAAAGTGAAACCGATGTGTGACAGCAAACATCGGGGCACTGTAGCCTGGGGGGGAGGAGAGCAGAGTAAAAAATTATGTAATGGAGAGCCTGGTCCAAGGGAAGGTGGCAGTACCCTTGCCCCTGCTCTCCACTTCCTTGCTGCCCAAGCTGGAGGGATTTGCTGCTGCCTGAATGAACAGGCTGAGGATGTCTGATGTCTGATGGGCTGGACAGGTGTAGCTGAGCCAGCTTTGGGAAGGGTACTGATCTGCTCCAGGCTGCAAATGAATTGTTGCAGAGCTGGACAGGAAGCTTTTCACCCTCCTGTGTGCTACATGGGCCCAGGTGGATAGGATGTTGCTTTATGTGTGCCCCACAGAGCGGCACAAAGTACCAGGTTTATTAATCCAGGGATCCCAGAGGTGCTGGAATATCCTGCTGAGAGTAAAGAGGATGGGATTTGGTGGCTGGGGCACCAGCAGACGTAGCAAGGAAGACGATAAGGTCACGGCAGCCAAGAGGAGGCACCAGAGAAGTTAGTATCAAAACTGTTTTAATAAGGACAATAATAAGTGCATGGCATACAGAGTGGAGGCAGAAAGGATAATTCCATGGATGTGGGTCTTTGGTCTGGAGCTTGTGTTACAGTGTGGAAAGCAGAGGGTGGAGGGGAACTCGTCCTGAGAGCCTGGGTCCCCGCCCTGGAAGCAGGGATAAGGCTGATCCTGCTGGGTATCAGTGGCCAGAGCTGGGGACTTCTTGAAGCTGGTGCCTGCCCCAATTTGCTGCTGCTGGCTGGTGCAAGGCAGCCCCTCAGGGAGGCTGAGGAACATGGGCTTGCCCGTAGCCTCGGTGGCCTGACTGTGAGTGGCACTTGCACGTGCAATATGTGTGCACACCGGAGCTCTTTATTCTGCTCTGAAGAGCTCCCTGCCAAAAGCAGCCGGGTGGTGGCTGAACTGCATGGGAGCAGAGTCTTGCAGCCATGGCCTAGCATCTTCCCCCGCTGCACACCCCCTCCTGTCCCAGAGAACAAGGGGGGTCCTGTGAGGGTCCCTCTGGTGACCTCAGACCCTGAGCATGCTGGCTCCACACCATGGCACAAAGGCGCTTCTGTGAGGGCCAGTTTGCGCGCGGGGCAGCGTGGGGGGCAGCTCATTCCAGGGTGGCTGCGTCGCCCGGGGCCACTTGGTGAGGGACATTCCATCGTCCACACTTACCCCTGGGAAGGGGTGTACTGGGAAGAGGGGTGTGTGCATGGGGAATGGGCAGAGGGGCAAGGATGGAGACACAAACCACCTGCCACCACCATGAGGATGGTGGCACAAATTGAGTGGCTTCAGAGGAGGAGTCTCCTTGTTCTGAGGCAGGGGGAATGGAAGGGAGTTTCAGGATCTGAACTGCAGAATTTGGTGACCTGACAACCTGCCTCTGCTTCCAGCTAGCCAAGAAGTTTCTTCCCTCCCTGCTGAGAGGGGTTGGAGTCAGGAAAGAAGCCATCCTGAGTGATGTCCAGCAGTAGGAGGCAAGTGGAAAGACTCCTGCAATTATCTCTGTGCATGCTCTCACCTCCTGAACACTGAGCACACGGCTTTTTGGGAGAAAGGGGAAAAGAGGAACCTTAGGTCTTTGCCTGGCTCTTGGGTCCCCAGCTGACCTCCCCTAGCAGATAGATGTGCTATACTGCAGGGTCTTGCACTAGCTGGAGCTGGGGAGATCCCCATCCCCTACGTGCCAGAGCTATTGGTGGGAATATTTCTGGGAGGGCACCCATGCCAGTGCAGGGGGTGGTTGGGGGCTTCAGGGGGAGGATGGGGTATGTCCACAGACGTGCTGGTGGGGCCAGGCCGAGGGTTGGGAGAGATGGTACTGGGGAAAATGGGACAGGGTAGAAAGGAGTTTGGGGTTTCTTTGGCACATGGGAATGTCTCTTTGGTGTCTAATGGCAGTGAGGCTGGAGAAGGGGTGTGATGCCTGGCACTGCAGTGCTCACTAGCCCTTTGCTGCAGCCTGGCCCAGACCTAGGGAGCCCCCCACAAGATAGGCTCTCCTCCTGCCCCTCTCCAGCCCACCCAGTGTCCCCAGCTTGGCAAGGTGGTCACCCACTGTGTCTGCTGGTGACATTGGCACCTGAGTGTGGGGCACGGGGAGGAGGGTGAAGACCCCAGCACCAGTGTCTCTGGTGGGGCCTGTGATGGGAGGGGTGGCCATTCACACCTTGACTTCATCATCCTCTTCCTCCTCCTCATTGGCATACTCGAAGGAACTGCTGTGCCCACCTCGGGCACCAGTGTAGCTTTCCTGCCAGCTGGAGAGCTTGGTCTCCTCCTCCTCCTCTCCTTGGTTCCAGCTGGCCTCAGGGGACTGGCTCTCCCTTGTCACTTGTGACCGCCACAAGATGCTGCTGGGGCTCTCCCACGGGGTCTGTGTCCGGGCCTGCCGGGGACCCTCGCCCTTCTCTGAGCTCCGTGGGGTGCTGGTCCCACCGTAGTGGCGGGCCAGGACCTGGGTTGCTCGGTCAAATTCTCCCGCCTCAATGGTGCAGTCGTTCCAGTGCCCCTGCCAAGGGGTCCCTCTGGGCGCTGCCCCTGGCCCCGAAGCCCACACAGAGTCCGCTCCAGCACCTTCGATGGCATGTGCCTCTCCGTTGGCATGGACTGACAGACCTGGCAGTGAGCTGGCCCCTGACAGGTTGCTCTGCCTGGAGTGGTCCCAGAAGCTGGATGTTGACTTGTCCTCTTCGTGGGATGCACCCACTGCTGGAGGGACCCTGTCCTTGGTCCCCTCACCACACAAGAGGTGTGGGCCATCCTCCCCCACCTCATTCCCATTGGTTTCAGAGAAGCTCATCACCTGGAGGAGCTCGCTCATGAGGGAGGGCCCCAGGTCCAGGCGGAAGGACAGTAGGGAGTCCGAGCGATTCAGCTCATCTTCCCCAGGAAAGGTGCTCTCTTGGGGCTTTTCCAAGCGAGGGACACGAGGGATGGTACAAAACCCAGACTCCAGCCCTGTGAAGCAGAAGGGATGGCTGGTGAGGGGAGGGGATGGCTCTGTGGGCAGAAGCCTGCCTTACTTCTGCAGGGACAGGGGACACTGCCGTCACAGTGGCACAGGTCACGCTCTCGTCAGTGGCACTGGCCTCTAAAGGACAGGCCAGTATCTCTGTGGACATCTCCAAAGCTCAGAGTACAGTGGAGGGTATCCAGGTGCGCTCTGGGCTTGGTAAGATGGCAGTGGGGGCTGAGCCAGACAGGTGGGACCAGGAGATGGCAGCATTGCGTCAGCTTGCCTTTCCCTCTGAGCCAGGCCACCTCCCCTGGTTGCTGCAGGCCCCCCAGATCAAACCCCCCAGACCCAAGACCTTCTGCTCCCGACTTCCCTCCCTGGGGAAAACCTGAGCCACAGCCCAGTGCTGTGAGGCTGTTCAGGAGCCACATAGCTGTCCCGTCCTATCCTTTTCACAACCCTTCCCTAAAGGAGACCCTGGCTGGCAGGGAGGGTTGTGGGCAGGCTGGAGAAAGGGGGATGGAGTCCTGTGAGGAGCAGCACATGGAGATGTAGAGGTTGGCACTGCCAAGCAAGGGGCTAGAGCACCTGTGTGGAGGTGGGGAAGCCGTGCCATGAGTCTCCTTGACCTTGTAACCTTGGAGTGGGCATTGCTCCACTGTCCCAGCATCCTCTTAGCTTCCTCAGGGAGGCTGCTCATGGTAAAGGTGTAGGGCTGGGGCTAGATGGAGGGCACTGCCTTACAGCTACTCCACACAGGCTGCCAGCTGTGTGGGGCTAGGGGAGAGGGGAAGAAACAGAGAAACCATCCATGCCCCACTTTGGGGGACACCCTGGAAGGAGACCCTCCAAGGGCAGGAGCAAGGACCATGGTTCAGAGCAAGGTTAGGGTTATCTGCTCACAGGGATTATCAGGACTGGGGACTCTTAAATGTTCCATCTCTCCTGAGAGCCTGAAGTCCCTCAGTGAGGAGGAAACTGAGGTATGGAGCAATGGAGAAGGGCTGCAGAGGACGCACAGTACCTGGGTGCCAGCCTCTGCCCTGCGCTTCACTCACCGTAGGCCTGGTGCGTTTTGGAGAACCTGTTGGATGCACTTTTGAAGGAGAATTTGCTGGTCAAGCCGCGTCCACCGCCACCGTCATACATCCCCTCGTTGAGCTGCGGCAGGGAGATGGCGTTCTTGATGATGGGCGAGATGGCCGGGGGGGCGGGCGATGCCCCCGCCTGGCCCCCACTGCCCCGTCTCTTCAGTGGCGTCCGGCGGACGTGCCGCAGCGTCCGGGTGAAGAAGTTGTTGGCTTTGGCTGTGTCAGCCCCGCCGTGGTTGCTAAGGAAAGAGGTGTCCCCAAAGACGTCCCCGCCGCGCCCCACGTGCATGGTGTGCCGGAAGTCCCCCAGTGGTGGGCTGATCATATCTGGCGTCAGCTCCGACTTCAGCCGCCGCTTGCCATGGGAGCCTGACACCCAGCTGAGCACTGGCAGCTTCCCCAGGCTCATGTTGCACCCTTCACCTCACCCTTGCCTCTGGAAAAGCCCCAAAAATCAGCCCTCAACAGGCTTCCAGCACTGGGGTGATCTGTCACATCCCTGAGCTTCCCATTGCTTCTGCCCAGATGCTCTTGGGGTAACAGCTCATGTCACTTTGGCTTCCAGCAGGTTTCCTGCTTTTCTGCACTATGTCGCACTCATGAAATCACCCTCAGAGGGTACTTCTCAGTGGTGAGGACAGTGGTGGCACGGAGGTGTCCCCAGGGGGTGTCTGGGTCAACCCTGGTTCTGCAGAGGCTGCTGGAAGCTGTGTCTGGCCGTGGGCTTTAGGGGTTAATCCTCTGTCTTCTGCCACTGCTGGGAGAGTGGAAGCCAGTCCCAGATGAAGCAGCAGGTGATGATGGGAGCTTGGGGTGGACTGGCAGGGCAAGTAAGTTGGTCCCCTTGTTTCCCACCTAAACAAGGTAAGAGGAACAGTTACAGCCTTGGAGAGGTTCAGTCATATGGACTGAACCCCCTGAACTGTCTGGAGAGGCTAAAGGCAGTGTATAAGACAATGGGGAGGTTGCTACTGGCTGTCCCCCTTGCCTGGCCTTCCTCTTGGGAAGGAAGAATAAGGCTTTCCTCCAAACCACACATACTGTCCCTCACCTCTCTGACCTCCCTCAGTGTGCCTCAGTTTCCCCCATCTGCAAAGCAGCTTGGCCAGACCCACGCCACAACACAGGCTGAGGATTTCCCTCCCAGGCAGAACCTCCCAGAGCAGTGCCCTGCCCGGCTGCCCCGGCTCCTGGGGCGAGAAACCTCTCCCTCCTTTTTGCTATTCAGATGAACCCTTGAGGAGAGGGTGAGGCCTGGGGACTGTGTGCTTCTCGGGGAGAAGGAGTGGTGGGAAGCAAAAATGCAATATTTGTAAATTGCTTTGTTTGTCCTTCACCGGCTGGGTCCCCAGGTACTGGGCAGACATGCTGGAGAAGCAGTCTGGCAGTGTGGAGAAAGCAGCTGCTTTGCAGGGAGGGGAAACTGAGGCATGGCAAGGGAGGTGATTGCTCAAGGTTGGAGGAGAAGGTAGAATGGGACCCTGCACTCAGGCGGGTCCTGGAGGCACTAAGGAGCAGGTGGGAAGCAGCAGCTGGATGCATGATAGCAGGGTGACGACTTCCCCAGTCAGTGAGGAGGACACTCAGATGGGCAGATTCCTCACTGGTATGTGGGCAAGTGGAAGAGAGTGGGTTGGGGAAAAGAGAGGATTTGGGTACGGGGCATCTCCGAGTATCAGTGTTCTGGGTAGCCACCTGGGGACATGTCCCTCCCTGGGGTCAGTTCTGGGGCCAGGGGAACAGGATGGAGCCGGGTCCCTCCATCAGGGCTGGTTTGGAGGACAGCATGACAAAGGGTGATCCAGGAGCCTCACATCCCTTGATCTCCATATGCTGGGACCCCCATCGCTGCATGGCTTTGTCTGTCTCCCCCTGTCATGTTGCCTGCCTCTCCCACCTGTCCCCGTGTCACTTCAGAATATCCAGGCACTGCCAGAGTGGAAAAGGCTCTGGCGAAGGGGAGTCCTGGACATGAAGTAGTTTTCCTGGCTGGCTACATGTGATTTTGCTTTGCCCTGGCCTTGTTTGCTCACCTGGGGCCCCTCTTATCTGCCAGGGGTTAATGCCTGGGGAAGGGAAAACAAACCTCCCTCAGCGGTGCCCAGCACCATTGGCTGCCTCCCGGGGTGGCAGTGGCCGGTGGCAGCAGGGCAGGTTGGATTCCTGCTGGCCCCCAGCTCCCTGGCTCATGCAGCTCAAGTCTTCATCCTGCTCACAGAGGCCATGCAATGCTGTCTCATAGCCGGGACATGGCAGATGGCAGATTTGGGGTGGAAGGACGACTGGGAAGCTATTTCCTCTCTCTGGCAGAAGCCCACCCATAGCCACTGGGTCAGGGCTCTCCTGGAGTGCAAGGAAACTACTAGGGTGGTCCCTGCAGCACAATAGGGGTCTTGGGACCACAGGGAGAGAGATGCAACCCCATTTTTGAGCTGTCCCCAGGGTCTCCCAGGAAGGCACATGACCCTGGAAGAGGGGATTAGGTGAGCTACAGCCCTCAAGTTTTCCTTTCCCTCTGCACATTGGAGCCCCTGAAAAACACAAAGTGGGGACTCTGCCCTTCAGCCTGTGCTGCACTGGCCAGGGCTACTCTGAGGGGTGAACTCCCCTATTCCACCCCAGGTCCCCTGTTCAGCAGAGCTGCCCTGCAGACCCTTGCGGGGGACATCACACCTTGGGATGGGGAGGCAAGGGAAGGAGGGATGTGGGAGGAGAGCATCCCCTTGCTCCCTGTCTGGACAACTATTGAGTGGGGAGCTTGGTGGAGGAAAGAGTTTCTCCTTCCTTGTCCCTTGGTCACCACAGGGAAGCAAGCCAATACCTGGCCCCTGGCTCTCCCTGCCTGCTGGCAGGCAACAGGCACTGGGAGGGGAGGGAGGGAGGAAGGGAGGGAGGGAGTGAGGCAGCTGGTGCCCAACCCTACCTGGATGGCAGGTTTCTGGCAGGCCTGTTGGGTTTTTTCTCCTTCCAATCTCCCCTTTTTCCTCCTTTCCTCTGCCTCTGGTATGACTCCCTGAAGACTGTGCCCCTTTGAGCCCTCTCCTTCACCCAACCAGATTCTTCCGTGCCAGGGAAACTCGTGATTCTGCGGGCAAAGGGTGACCTGTGTGCTGTCCTTTCCTCCACTGGGCAAGGGAACCACTCTGCCTGGCCATCTGTCTGTCCAGGTGCCACTGCTTCCATCTGGCAGCCCTCTGTGTTCGCCAATTCTCAGCAGAAAGCCCACAGCCCATCACGACCTCCCCTTCCCCGGCATCCTCTCTCTGGCTCCCTCCTCTCCTCCTCTGGGAAGCCCCCTGCCCTCAAAGACCCACGATCAGCACCTCCTCCTCCTACTTCCAGCCTGGCCTCCCCCATTTCCACCCCGAGTTCAGCTGGTTACCACTGGTTTTCCACTAGCTGGGAATGGCCTGAGCTGTTCTGCTTGCTGGGAAGAGCGGAAACCAGAAAGGGGGGGAAAATAATCCAGATGTCTAGTTGGCTGGAGCTGCTGAAAGCAGCCGCTTCCCTCCTCCTCCTCTCCTTACACCCCCCTCTCCCAAAGGGGACATACTCCAAAAGAGGCTGAATAATTTGGGGTGGTCTCAACAGTGGGAAGAGTGGGTGGAAATTGTTGTGGGTGGCCAGGAAGGCTTTCCCAGCCTTCCCAAGTGCCGAAAAACCTCCCTTTCCCCAAAGGAAGGGAGGCAGAGGTTCCCCTGTTGAGTGACTGCTCTGGGATGGGGAAAGCCAGCAGGGACAGGCTTTTGGGGAAGGGGGAAAGGGGCTTAGCTGGCTGGGCTGGGTCTCTTCCAGCTTCCCTGGAGCCGTGCCGGGCAGTAGGCAGACGCCTAAATCCAACTCCTGTGCTGCTGGCTGCTATATATATCCATAGTGATATCTCTCAGTATAACAAGGATATTTTTCCAAGTAGACGTGCTGGGACTTAGAGGGAGGTCAAGGCTATGAAGGTGGGCAGTTTCCAATCATCCCTTTCCTGCCCTCTCACGAAAAAGTGCTCCCTTTCTTCCTCCATGCCTCTGAAATCAAGGCGCCACGAGCCTGCAGGGTTTTGAGGGATATCCAGAGCAGAGTTTGGGAGGCCAGTGTCCCGCTGCCTTCCCCCATCTGTGGGACCCTCTTCTCACTCCCTTTCTTTCCTGCCTCTTCCCCCTGGCCCGCGTCCCCTCTCCTCACTCCCCGTTTCCTGTTGCATTCCTGCCTTCTTGTCCCTTTCTTTTTTGCCATCCTCCCCCTCTCTATCCCCTTGCCACCCTCCCCCCGCCCCGCTTCTCCCCTCTCCAACCACCCTCTCCACCTTTTCCTTCTGCTCCCAACATCTCCCCCTCCCCAGCTCTACAGACTGATGAATCAAAATTTTCAGGATTTACCTCTTTCAAGCCAGAGTTATTTTTCCCCGTCCTCCGGACGAAAAGTTGCGAGACACTCCCCGTGGGCCCCTGTAACTTGCTCCGAGGGTTACTGGTGCTGCGTCCTGGAATGGAGGTGGGGGGAAACGGGAGGCATGTCCCCCCTCCCTTTTCCCACGGCTGTCCCCCCAAGGCTGGCTCTCCCAGGCTGACGCCCTGATGCCACGGGAGAGAGGGAGCGAAGCTGGCGGGGAGGGGACGTGGGAAGGAGGAGGGCGGGCTGCAGCACTGCCGAGCCAATCCTCGACTCGGCAAGAAGACCAGAGAAAATGAGATTTATTCCAACTATCCAGGACAGAAAACTTCAGGAACTTCTCTGCCGCTCCCCTCCTCCTCCCCACTTCCCCAGTGCCATTTCCCGTCTGCCGGCATTTGCTGCCTCCCGCTCCCGGGCCCCGCTTCAATGGGTTTGGGGGAAGGGGGAAGCCCAGGTTGCTGGCTAACCTGGTTAGGGGAGCCTGGTGGGGCGCAAAGGAAAGGGCTTTGACCCCTCTGTGTGTGTGACCCCTCGGGTATCACACAGGGTCATCTCATCCCATGTTTGATAGAAGTCCCCACCAGTGTCTGTGGTGTAGTAGTGCCAGTCAGGACTGGGGTTGGGGGGTGGGTGGTCATTCCAGGACCTGTCGGTAGCATTGTGTTGGGTGTTAGCAGGATAACAGCCTCCCTGAAGGCCACATGGGCCAGGTTGGCATTTGTTACAGAATCAGGACAAGTGTCACAGGTTTGGGACAAGCTTCATATCAGTGGCAGTGCATCAGACGAGGGTGAGGGGGTGGCAACGGATAAATGCAAGGAGGTGCTCTTTGATGGCACCAGGGAGAATTTCTGCCCACACACAGAACACCACATCCCTCTGGCATTTTGCTTCATCCATCCTTGCTGGTCACAGGGCAGAAGACCCTATAAGTGCCTATGAGGGGCAACCTGCTGGTGGGTGCGGATTCACCAGTGCCATCAGTGACCCTCATGGCCTTCAGGCGAGACTCAGTGGCTCTGCTAGGGGCCACTTGGCCAAGCACAAGCACTTATTCAGGGCCCTTTGGAGGAGAAGGGAGGTGTCTCTGCTGGTGAAGGCGAGACAAGACTTGTTGGGGTTAAGTAGGGCCTGGCTAAAGGGATGACAAGATGTCTGCAGAGGAGATGTCAAAATGGAGCCTGGCCTCTTGCTGGGCTCAGGTGGCTCCTGCTGGGGTGCCCAGGCAGCAGCACCTTATTGCTCAAAGGTTTGCTAAGTAGTAGCAGGATTTTGGCACTGCTCTCAGCCTCTCAGCCTCAGGCTCCTCTTCTGTGAAATGCAAGTTGGGTTTTCTGCCTTCTGTAGAAGTCTGCCCCAATGGGAATTAAGAGCATATGGACTGTGCATGTTGGTGGTACTTTAGCGGGTCTATGTCTTGGAGGAAGATGGGAGTTCAGCTCTGATGGGGGGAGCTCTGCCATCAGCAGGGAAAGGAGGAGAAATCATGACCTGCATCCTCCCTGCTTGTCAGATGTATAGTAGGCATCCCTTCCCTCAGGTCCTGCTCAGAGGAAGCTAATGGGGGTGGTGGGAGAGGCAGGAAAAGACTCTTTATTTGGGTCTCCCCCTCTGCACTGCCTGCCATTGCACCTCCCCCCACCCTGCCTGAGGGGCTTCCCCTCACTCCCCTCACCTCCATCCCCATACCCTTGCAGGAGAGGCTGTGTCAGGGAGCAGAGCCCAGCGACAGCAGCCGTCTCCGCTGGGGAATGCAGAACAAATCTTTTCCAGATGGGACAGGGGCCACGTTCTGCTTCTCGCAGGGCGGCCAGCTCTCCACTGCCTCCTCCTCCTCCAAGCTTCTCTGTGCTCCAGGCCAGGATGGGCTCCATTTCCAGGAAAGCAGATGGAAATCCCCCATCTTCAGCACTCTTCCCCAAACCTGTGATCTTGTGGCCATGCCAGCCAGGCTCTGATTTTTGTCCTTCGAGTCTAGCCCTGAAGTGCTTTGGAGACCTCCAGGGTATGTGCCAGCTCCAGGTCTCCGTACCCATCCTGGCCTCTGGCTGCTTGGTTACACCGATACCCCCTTCTTTCATATACAGCTGCCTGGAACGTGAATCTGTCCAACCGTCCCTCTTGGCCTAGTTATCCACCCTGACTGGTAAATGAGAAGTGGCTGTGAGCCTGGACAGTGCTGCGGAGCCACTGTACCACTCATGTGTGCCCTGGGCAGTAGCTTATGCCTGGACCCCTCCCAGCCCAGCTACCTTGTTTACCTTCAGTCACCCCAACCTTTCATCCCGTCTGTAACCCTAAGCCCCAGGCAATAGTACCAGTCTCACCATTACAGTGAGACCGGCCATTGGACTTATCATGGAGCAGACAAGTGACCCAGCAGCTTTCCTGGATGAGAAGGATTTGCTTTGATTACCACAATATCAAAGACTGGGCTGTGCAAATTGCATCCTCTCGTCTTCCCGGAACTCATCCCTCCGACATGGGTTTGAGGTCTTATGGGTATGTGAGTGTGATGAGGATGGAGAGAGGAATGGAGGGATGTGTGGGGGTGGGGCTGGGGCTGAAGTCTCTGCCCCACACCTCCTGGTGCTCAGTCCTTCCTCCTATCTCACTTTGTAGTCCCTTCTGCTTGCAGACCCAATGCCTGAAGGAGGCTGATGCAGGACTCCCTTCCAGTGAAGAAAAAACCCTCTTCTCCCTTTCCCCGGTGCCTGAGGGGAACCGAGGGAAGGCAATGAGGGCATCCCAGCTTGCGGATGAGGTCAGTGGGAAGGGGATGCCTTGCTCAGTGCACAAGAAGCAGATATCCTGTTGCTGCCCAGGGTCTCTGGCTCATATTTCCTCATTAACTGAGAACGCTGCTTGTTTGCGGGTGACTTCCAGATGTTTCCATTCTCCTCACAGGGGCCATGAGCGTGCATACCTCGTGGGTATGGGAAATACTGCCAGCAGTGGGGTGGGGGACAGACTCCTGCCATGATGGAGAGGGGGCTCCATAGGGCTCCCTTGTCCCAT